TGAAGTCAAAGATGTGGGGTGGGTGGGTGGGGGCAATGCCCATATTAAAAATAACTTTAATTTTTTATTAATCTTTTAATGTTCACCAAGCAATTAAGAAAATGATTATAATTTTAATTACAAACATCTATTGATTTAGCCAAATACTATTAGGAGATGACTTAAGCCGCACTCTTACTATTAGGATGGCCAGGGTTCGATCTTAAACCCTATTTGATGATGAGTTTTTGCATTTATATTATTTCAACTTATAAAAGATAGTTTAAGATATCTCTTTGCGGGATCAAATTAATGGGCAGTAAAAATTATCACAAAGCGAAAGAACTATTTGATTTTCACATCCTCTATGAATAGGTAGTGTAAGTTCCACTTAATTATTTCTCTAGCCAGAGTGTATGTCATTTTAGTGGACCTAAGCCACACTCTTACTATTAGGATGGGGCTCAACTTTTGAACCATACGTGAAACGACTTTTTGCCTTTACGATATTCCAATTAACCATCACTATTACCAATTTAGGATTTCACGAACTGGGGGTAATTCTTTTGGACACCACCATTTAATTTATATCCGTCTTTTAATTAATTTATTTTTTTGTATAAATATCCATTTCGAAACAACTTTAAATATGCAGTATTTGAATTTAGGTTTAACGAAGTCTTACTTCAAATATAAAGATATGACTAAAATTCAAACAAAAATAGTTATATTTCTTCATACAAAAATGCTTAAACTTCAACTATATGAAACTTGAGTCATTTTATCTAACAAATCTAACTTCAGACATGCAACTGAAATAAGTAGACTTGCAAATTTTTCAGACACTATACGAATATGGTTTAAATGATCGATATATGGTCCCAAAATTAGATATCTCTATACTTCAGCTGACTTTTTTCTTACAAAAGCAAATCTGCAACAACTACGACATCCTTGATATCCTCTATAAATAGGTAGTTCCAAGTTCAATTTTTTGCATCAATCACTATCCTTCCCATTTTTCTTTGATTTCTCTTTTCATCATTCAATAACTCAAGAATGTCTTCATGTAAGGATCATATAGTTTTGATGATTTCAATGTTTATTATGTTTTCAATGGTAAAAGGTCAACCACAAGTGCCATGTTACTTCATATTTGGAGACTCAATAGTTGATAATGGGAATAATAATAACCTTATAACAACAGCTAAGGCAAATTATTTTCCTTATGGAATTGATTTCCCAAATGGTCCACAAAATGGAAGATTCACCAATGGCCGTAACAAAGCTGACTTTATTGGTACATTTTCTCTATCAATTTTTCCTTTTCTTCGTTCCACGATAACAACATATTCAGTGTAATTTCATAAGTGGGGTTCGAAAAGAGCAAGATGCATGTATACCTTATATTTACCTTCATGGAGTATGGTCTGAACAAAGATTGTTTCCAATATAGACCCCTCACGGTGTTCAAAATTAATACATATATAAACTCCCATACAAGGCTACTTTTTTCGAAAGCTCAGCAGAACCACCTACCACTTGGTAACCATCTTCGTATCATCTTTTCTTCTTCTTAGTGTCTTATTCGCGATCAACAAACAAGAATGATCGTTGGGAAAAGCTTAACTATATTGATATAAAGTAATATTTGACCTATATATAGAGATTTTCCCCATCCCAACATCGTGTCCCAAGATAATCACACTTTTTATATTTAGATATGACTTAACTTTACAATTCTTATTTTCTGCTTAATTAATTAATGAGATGAATTGTATCCACATAACCGCTTACTCCTTTGTTTTAAACCATAATTTTGAAAAGATTTTCTCTTTTTTCTTGAACTCTATATCGAGTCAAATCAAAGCAACATTAAATGGAAAGGAGGTAGGGGCGAAGCTACATTAGCCTTTGGATGGTCAATTGGACACCTATGGTTGAATTTCTTTTACTATGTGTATTATCAATCAATTATTAAGTTTTATACATGAACACCTTAATGAAATTTTTGATTTTGTCATTGGATGGATTTATTTTTACGATGAATCTTCACCGGCTTTAGTACCGCCCCCTTAACTAACCGCATTTTTCTCCCGTTCAGCTGAGCTCATAGGATTCAATAGCTCGATTCCACCACATGCAACTGCAAGTGGCAATGAAATCCTTAGAGGAGTCAATTATGGATCAGGAGTTGCTGGAATTCGCGATGAGACCGGTATTCGATGGGTAAAAAACTCGTTAATTTTTTACCTATATATATAATAATTTTTCGATGAATAAGGATCAGTTAAGTCCCTCCCACTTATTGAATCCACCCATGTCACACAATTCGTTACATCATTAACTGAATCTTCTTCATGAAAAGTATTTTTTATTTCATCAAGTTGTAGACGTTTCAGAAGTTCCATCTAAGATCATTTCTCAACAATATAATTTCTTTCAGATTCATTAAATTTACATGTACCGATTCTTGAATGTCCGTTATGATAAAATATGATCCTGTGAGAGTGTTTTCAAATTTTGCACGTGTAATACATGTTAATTCCTTCTATTTTTCCATGTAAAACCCTTCATATAAGTAGTAAACGTTCATAATAAAAGCATAATTTATTGTATGTTTTTTATTCTAACATACTTTTCAAATTTTACATTCCCTTATAATATACGAAAAATGTATGTTCAAATTTCAGATATGATATTTTTCAATTTTTATAATCTCCTTCTCAAAATTCTGACTCTATCACTATATATTTATGTGTACTATTAATATTCTACATATTCAATGTGGAATTCATACCATAAAAATTACATTATATTTTTTTATGTATACATATTTTTACACCTCGATCTTTGTGAAAATCCTGACTACATTACTATTTATGTTACAGGGTGATAGGATCAGCATGAATAGGCAACTATTGAACCATCAAGTCACAATTTTGAGAATTAATTCTATACTTAGAAATATTACTGCAACTAGAAGTTTATTGAACAAATGCCTATACACTGTTGATATGGGAAACAATGATTATCTCAACAATTATTTAGATCCAACATTTTATCCATCAAGTCGATTGTACACACCAGATAGGTTTGCAACCATCCTTGTTCAACAATTTGAAGGACAACTAAGGGTAATTTTTGCTACTTAAATTACTACGTACGTTTTATTTTCAGAGGTAGAAGAATTAGATCATGAAAATATGATTTGCATGCACTTCCGTTGAAGTTTGGGTAGTTGTGCTAGGGGAATATTTTCATGACTGGTCAATTTGGATAGACTCGGGAATTGAATTATTATAACTCAATGACCTTAGAAATTGGTGGTCTTAAGAACTTTTTTGAACCCTGCTTGCTTCGTGAGCAAATCTTTAAGATAAAAAATTGAATTTTATTTGAACTTAATAAAATTTTATTCACGATGCAAGTGAGGTCGAAAATTAGTTATTTCTCAATTATTACAGCAGATGAAAAATGGTTATTTGTGAATTTTACCTAATACTTGACTCATCTTGATTCTGATTCAAGTCAAGTAACCTTTAGACGTATTATTATTATTATTATTGATTCAATTCATTTTGACTCGTACAATTTTTTAATATTTTTTTAGAGGTTGCATAGGTATGGAGCAAGGAAGGTGGCAGTATCAAATATTGGTCTATTAGGTTGTTTGCCAGAGGAGACAAGAACATATGGAAGAAATGCATCTGGATGTGTTGATTTTATTAATAATTATGTCCAACTATTTAATCAGAAATTAAAGGTTTCAATTGATAATTTGAACACTAATCTTCCCAATGCAAGGTTTATTATTTCAAATCAGACTAGCATTTCAACAGGGGGTCCACCTATTGGTAGGTTAAAATATTCTTTAACTCTTCATTTTTATAATAATTTTATTTATATTTCGCAATTGCTTACTCGTATCTGATATTTAATTTTTTAAACTAACTCAATGTTATGATTAAGTGATCTGATAATGAATGATTAAGTGAATGAGTGTATGCGCAAATATATGTTATCTTTTTGTTTGATGTAAACAACTAATGTGATAATTTTTTATCGTTAAAATCACAAGTTTTTTTCAAAAAAATCTTTCTTTTTTTCTAATTGTGTCTTGTTAAACATCATTACATAAATCGAAAATGAGGTAGAAGCTAGATATGAGCTATATTTTTTTTTATACTATCCTTAGTGCCAAATAACTACATGAAGTAGTTGTCGCCAAATTTAGAGTGTCAATAAGATTAGTTTAGTAAAATATATTTCTAACTAAAATCTTCTTAAGGAGTGTTATAGGTTAACATGATCCAAGTAAATCTGAAACGGAAAGAGTATATTATACGCAAGATAAACAGAGGTAGAATGTAGATATGAGTTCTGGTCAAATCTAATATCTTTTACTTAAATAATGTATTTGTATTAAGAAATTTATAAAATATTAACACATCCTACATGTATTTAGAATCCCATTATTCTACTTGAAATTCTCATCCTAAATAATCAGAACCTATAAAGTTAAAATCTCGTCGCCACCTCTAATTATACTCAACTTTTAAAAAAAAAATCACAAAATTCAAAATATTATTTTTTAAAATTTTCATACTAAATCAAACTAAGACACATAAAATAAAATCGAGTGAGTAATAAATATGATAAGAGTGAAGGAAATATAACATAATGAGAGGGGACAAATGGCACTAGGTTGAATGAATTATAATTAATAATTTTGACATATTAACCATTTTTTTTCTAGTATAGGGTTAGGTTTCACAATGTTAAGTCCCAGCCTAACCAGCCCAACCCTATATTCAACCCTACCCAACTAGGAAAAAGTTATTTTATTTAAGAAAGAAAAAAAAAATAACTTTGAAACTAATGTTTTTAAAACATGTCATAATATTTATGTAATTATAATCGCTATAAGTCAATCAGTAAACGCAGTAAACGCTAAAAGTCCAAATTCGATAGCTATAGATCAATAACGATCGGAAAAAATCCCTGGTTGCTAAAAGTCTAACTATCACAAGTTGACAAGTGAATATCAGTCTAATCGTTAAAGATTCTTTAGCGACGACAAAAGATCAGGCTATCATTCTTTTTCGAATGGATTAAAGAGGAAATACCATCACATAAATTGAAACAAAGAGAATTTTTTTTTTGTTTGGATAATTTAATATTCATGTATTTTATTTTATTTTGGATTAATTTCAGGTTTCACAGTTTTTGACTCACCATGCTGCATAATATCAAACACAACAGCCAAAGGACAATGCAGCAATAATGGCCAAACTCCATGCAGTAACAGAAATCAATATGTGTTCTTTGATAATTTTCATCCAACAGAAGCTGCAAATAGGGCCATTGCTACAAGATCAAACACTGCTCTTCTACCCACCGATTCGTATCCGACTGACATTAGGGGTCTCGTACAAACCTAATACAATCAAACTTCTCTATAACAACGTCGTTTGTTCGGAAAAAAAAAACAAAGTTAGTTACTATTGTAAAATGTTGTTATAGAAAGGTATCATTGTAGTATTAATAAAATAATTCCCCTACAACAATACTTGTTTGGTTACAAAAATAAAAATTACCAAATGGTAGTAATGTAGTTGTGGGTGGGGTGGGGGGAGTTGACTCAAAATAAAGAAATGTAATGATATAAATTATTACTTCTTGATTATCATCTAGTATTCAGTATTTATATTGGGACTCGACTAAATTCAAATTTGTGCTCAAATTGAGGGGCAAAGCGTTGTGACTTCATTACTAATTCGACTAATTTAAATTCACATAGTATAGAGTCGGGAAAAGCCGATGTCCACCAAGAATTTACTAATCCCAATTCATTTTAGTGCTTTCAACATAAAGGAATTCAAGATTTTAAGCATTTTTTGTGTGAGCTAGTCCACTGAATGTTCAGAAATTAGTCAACCGTTACCATTGGCCCCTAAACTTGGCTAAGTCGAGCCTCACAAGCCTTTTGACAAGTACTCAACGTCTCCTTTTTTAACGTTTCAACGTCACAAAATAGAAATTCAAGATTTTTTTGCATTTTTCGTGTGTATGAATCCACTGAATACTATTCAAGAATAGGGCCCCCTAAACTTGGCTAATACAGGCCACACAAATTTGTTTGCATTCTCAATAATGACATCTCTTTTTTCAGTGTTTCGATGTCACGTAATAGAAATTCAAGATTTTAAGTAATGTTTGTGTGTGTCACTCCGCTGATTATCCGTAAATTATTCGGACAAACAACGTCCTTATAGAGAGGTTTGGCTGTATTGATTGAAAGCAAGTTCATATTTAGACAATGAATAACACAAGTGTTCAAATTTAATATACAAAACTAATATAAAACTCAAAGGAAAGATCTTTCATTCCAATGAAAAAGAATAGAAGATTTTGAAACTAGAAAATAATCCAACAGACTATGTACTAAAAGCAACTGAATATTTTTGCAGACAATGTGGAGAAGTAGAAAAACTTTATCCAGAAATTTACTTAGATGTGGCGCGTAGACCGAGATGAACGATTCCGACTACTTAAACCTGAACTATCTTTCTTCCACATTGCCTCTAAATGCTGAAAGCAGTTCAATGGTCTAATTACCTGCATGTAGCAAAGTATTCATGGTGAAAAAGAGGCACTTAGGTATCTACTGAATAATATGTTATGCTAAACTGCAGTGGTCGTGGCGAGATTAAGGTTTTGTGTAATAATGTTGGACTGAGATGAAATTAAATGGGAATGTGGTGATTAGCTCAGATTCATATAGTCGACCCCAACTTGTTTGGGACATTATTGAGTCAAGTAACCAACACTGAACAAAGAAGTTACATCTGAGCTAATTATAACTAACTCGTCCACTAATAGTATCTCAGATGAGCTACTTATCAAATCAGAGCCAGGATATTGTTTTTTCACTAGAAGTCAATATTTCACAAAAGCATGAAATTCGAGTGATTTAGAGCTAATATGTCTCTATTCGATGAAACAAATGGTAAATAGTTTGATTCATTGATGACCAAAATGTGAAAAGATCAAACACATAAACACCAATACAACAACAACAATAACAACATACCCGTTGATATCCCACAAGTGGGGTCAGGGGAGAGTAGTCTGTATGCAAACCTTACCCCTACTCACTTTGGGAGATAGAGAGATTGTATCTAATAGACCCTCGGCTCAAATAAAAGCAGTTCGGAAAAAAAAAATGGGAGAGAAGAAGCCAAGACAAAATGCTAAAGAAAGCATAACAAAACATACTAAAAAAGGAACAGAAACTACATCAAAACAATACGATAATTTGAAGTGCAAGAACCACTAATGGATATTTTACCTTCCAGCGCTTGTTGTGGTCAGACTTTTTATAGATGAACTCAAGCCTTGGGATAATTTGCTTGAAACTTGGCCGCTCGGTTGGCTTGTCGTTCCAACACTCTTCAATCAATCTGAACACCAAAAGCACCCCTAATATTACTCCTTCCGTTTCAATTTAATTATCTAATTTTGACTTGGCACGGAGTTTAAGAAAGTAAAGAAGACTTTTTGAATCTTGTGGTCTTAAACAAAATATGTAAAATGTACCAAAACATCCTTTAATCTCGTGGTCTTAAACATGCCATGTGGAAATTGAAATTAAAGAGTTGCCTAAAAAGGAAAGAGACATCCTCTTCAAAACAAACTAAAAAGGAAAGTAAGACAAACAAATTGAAACGTAGAGAGTAACATATTGGAGACAGCAGCAAATTGATGACCATGAGATGGTAAAATTTATATACAGAAAAAAGAAGACAATAAGGACATTTTCCAAGATCCCAGTTTGTTTAAATGCTACCATCTAAGTAAAGACACCAGTTGATCAGTTATAACCCTACTAATCTATGTATAAGTAGAATCAAGATTGAAACCAACTAACGTAGAGCCAGGATTTCAACTTTATGGATTGTAAATTTTAGAACGACGACTTCATATGCATTGGGGTTCTAAATTTCATATGTATACATATTTAATGAATCTCTTAACAAGATACATTGTTTGAGCAAAAGCTATTGGGCTCGGCTTAACCCGTATATGGCCTTCTACCTCCACTAGCTTTACCAATTGGATATAGAAACAGCTTTGGAAAGTCTAAGGCCCTCTTTTTTCGTGTAGCATGTCGACTAGGATGCTTTCCTTACACAAAACAACCTACAGAAAAGGGGGATCATGATACGTAGATGTGTAGGAGTTTTATGTGCAACAGAGAGGTGGAAAGAGGCCGCCACCTATACGGAAGGAAAGGAACGCCAATTCTGAATAGTTTGATTTTATAATTGTAGGTCTGTTCAGTTCTTATTAGTTTTTTTGTGTTCTTTTTAAGTACGTTTACTATGTCACTGTTGCAAGTACCAGGTAACTAATTAGAATTGGAAGAAATCACCTAGTGTTTATCGTCTCCACTAGAATTTAAACCTGAGACTTCATGGTTCTCCTCTCACACCTAATTGACATGAGTTTTCATATTCTCAGATTATAACAATCGATATTTACCCTAGAATAGCATGGTTTATTATACTAAAATAAAATATCGTGACTTATAGTAGCAACTGATGAAAATATAGAACTTACTCTTTCAGTCCATGGGCATAAAACTTTGCCGGGGCTTTAAAAGGAGGGCGCTCTTTAGCAGCATACAACTTAGGTACATCGTTTTCTTCCTTCGCATGGAAAGGGGGATAGCCTTCAATCATCTAAAATACAGCACAACACAAAGATAAATATATCGCCTGTTTCTGCAAAGAGAAACTGCAAAAGACGCACATGTTTGACTCACTAAATTTTATCAAACCGGAGTTACTTTCAAACTTACGCAGATATACAACATAAATAGATCAGATCAATATTCAAGTAAACGATAATCACTGTATATTTCTGTGACCTTACTGAAACATATTTATATCATGTTAAATTTGATCTACAACATATCCAGTGTAATCCTACAAGTGGGGACTGGAGAGGGTAGGATGTATGTGGACCTTACCCCTACCCTACCTTTGCGAGGTATAGAGGTTGTTCCGATTGACCCTCAGATCAAAAGAAATGTTTCTGAAGCAGAATTGCAAGAATAATATGGTATCATTATATATTGAATTCTTAAGTCAGTAATTTATTTGTAATTTGATGCCATTAGTATTAAATACATATATGTTATACACAATCTCTGATTTTCTACAGATTGAGCACTCATTTCGATTTCATTTTAAAAAAGTATATGTTCACTTCTAGTTTTGTGCTTTCACTTTTAAGAACACGGAACACAATGCTCCTTGCATTCACACACTCTTAAACATAAAATAAAGATATGGTCCACAAGAGTGCAAACAAACTGTTCTTCCTCAAAGTTTAAACATGAATCTGATAAGACAAAATTTTACCTCTTGTAAAATCAAGGCAAATGAAAAGATATCAACTTTGGTATCATATTCCTCATTCCTGAAAACCTCTGGAGCTACAAATCGGCCTATTTGTTGCACAAGAATTGAAAAGTTTTTTTTTAGAAAAAAAGATGATGAAAATATTAGAAGAAATCCAAATATCGGTTCTCAAATATCAATAAACAGGATCAAATCACAACATATCAAATAAAGAAAGCTTTTTTTGGAGCTATCAAGTAAACTTGAAAACACTCACGCATATATTATTTTCCACAGTAACAAGCTACCATATCTTTTCCAATGGAGAAGGAATAGAGGACTATTGAATATCTAAAAGAAGAAGTACTCACGATAACTGTCTTCGTATGTCAAAGGCTTATCTTCTTTGACCCTTTTAGTAACTTTCAGTAGCTTGCTTACTCCAAAGTCAGCAACTTTCAGATGTCCAGTATCATCCAGCAAAATATTTCTGTTATCTTACTCCAAAAAAAGTGAACTATTATTACATGAAGAGTCTCAAATCACAATATGAAAGCATTGATGCTACTCGAAAACTTGGCTAGGCGTTAGTATAGACAAAATGTAATTCAGGTAACCTGACGGAAGTGAAACTTACGAAGGCTCAAGATCACGATGAATAATTGCTTCTTTATGTTCATGGAGATAGTTCATTCCCCTAAAACCAAATATTATATATGAGAATTTTTATACCCAGCAGTAATGCTCCAATCAAAGGACTACAAGACATTGAGATTTTACATCCACAAAAAGCTTTAGAGTGAACAGTCAAAAACACACCTAAAGTATTCCAGTTTTTCGACTTTCATACCGGATCTATCAAGTGTACGAGTTTTCTACCAGAACTATTCATCAAAACACAATTCAACATCAATTGTTCTCTTTTCTTACCTGAACGATGGTTATATTTCAGGTTGGAAAAGGGGAACAACAGATCGAGGAGCTGAATTTTGAAAAATAGTTGGTGATAGTTTAGGTAGGAAACTCGCATAGTGCAGGTGGTAAACTCAAAAAAACGAATACT